AAGTCTTACATTCATAACAGAATAAGCACTAAGTTTAATATGATCCTGTGTTAACTTTGGTATAATTTTTAACCCATTTTTCATTTCGTCATTGACTATTCTTGTGATATGGTACCAAATCAATTGTTGTCCATCATTCCAAAGACTTCGTGTACCCCTTCCATCCCCTGAAATAAAAAAAGATTGAATCTTAATATAACACAAAATTATTGTCTACAATTCAACTCTCAATCTAGGGAGGTTTAAAACATTGCATAGCCCTTCTAATCTTAGCTAAATAAGTAAGCATTTCATACTTTTTAATATAAAAATCTGTTATTTTATTATTACTTTCCAGCAAGAAATAACCATAACCTGATAATTTTCTACTGGAAAGGCCTGTAAACCAATACACTTTAAATATAATTTACATACCTGAGTGATATAAACAGTTCCTTGCTGTTTTGATGAGATGGGGAGCATCAGCAAAAAACCATAAGTACCGTTCAGGGGCATAAATATTAATGCATCGATGAACAACATTACAATCTAATTTGTCATCAAACATACTATGCATTCGATAGAACTTTCTGTTTGGTGCTGCACCATCCGATACTGCAGCTATAACATATAATTTACATGTCAGTTCTAAAACTCCAACTGCTTCCCAGAAAGTTGGCATTAGTTGAAACGAGGTGAGACCTTTAGTAGCAAAGTGACATAAAGCAAACTTTAAGTCAGAAGCAATACCTCGAATGAAGTAGACTAGAACATGGCTTGCTAAAGAATCTTCCTTTTGAAAAGTAGAATATAAATCAGGTTCACCTAAATCTACAAAACCTATAATGTCACCTGTGTGTTTATTAAAAACAAGTTTTTCTTGTATTTTTACTTCATCAAAAGATAACGTTACATATCGTTGGTAGCCAACTAGGTTAATACTAATTTTATTCAATTCTTCAATTACGGGAGGATTTAATCCAGCTTTCGGTCGAATGAAATTCTTATAATCTCTTAGAGTTCTGCGACTTGGTAATGTTAGTACATTTGATGAGCGCAACTCATCATAAGCTGAGGCCGACTTTGAGGCAAGTGAGAGGCAAAACCGTATTATCATAGGGTGATACTTTATTGAGCCAAAATTTTTATTACACATTTTCTTTTGCTGGTCCCAAAATAATTTCATAAAGGGAGTAGCTTTTTCGTAGTTACTACTCATTATTTGATTTAAATCATCAACAAACCCATCATCAATAGTAATACCTTTAGAGTCTATTTGAAAATTTATTTTTTCTAAATCACTTGTTAGCTGGGCACATCTTAGACGTTCTTGTTTTAATGCTAATAGAATGCGAACAGGATTTGTTTTACTAAGTGGAGCTTTTCGAAGAGCAGGTGTGGCTAACTGATGTTGTTTTTTTATTTTAATCATTTTGTTCTTTTTTAGTGTGTGGGTACAAAATGAACAAACAGAATTTATATTATCAGACTCACTAGTATGTAATATAATACATGATTTTGCTCTTTTAAACCTTTCATTTGATACACGCATACCATCTGTACTTGCACTTTCTAAATCAAATTCCATTGGAACAATATGATCAACAAAATCATCATTATTTATATTTCTGATGTTTTCTATAATACCAGAACAAAATCTTAATGTACATATTTTGCATAAAAGTTCGGTAACTGTAGTGTTCAGCATTGATCGTGAGTATAATTTATAGATTAAGTGAGTATCTGGCAAGAGCCACCCAAATACAATAATGGTGAACGCTAAACTGTCATCTACTACAACTTCATACTTAGGTAACAAATACAAAGGCAATAACTTTTTAAATTTGATATTGTTTTCATTACATGTCATCTCCCATCCACTAAGTTTTAACTTTTGGGTTTTTTTCTGTAAATCAATTAAGTTTGAATAATTTATTCGCTTCTGTGGGACAATATCTTTTACAATACTTATGTGTCTTCTAGGTACCTTTTTTTCTTTTTCATGTGATTTTATGGGTAGGTTAACAGTTGGTAAAGCCTCTAAGCGTAATGATTTCCTTCCAGTTTCTGAAATTCAACATATTTCAATAAAGTAAATATAAATTATCACACAAAAATAAGAACAATACTGAGAGAAAAAGAGAATATGTTATCCACAAATTTATATAAAGTCACAAATACTTTAAGCTTTATGAAATTTATTTGTTTATTGTACTTAAACTTATCAGAGTTGCCCAAAATTAAAGCTTTTAAAATTAAATAACACAGAGTGTAAAAGCAAATTTAAACAACTAAATATATAAAAGTATCCTTACTTGTCAATTCAATATCTTCTGCTAAAAAATGATTCTCACATATATAAATATTGCCCTTTGAGAGTCTTTCTTTCAAATCTTTGTCAAAGTCTCTATACTGAGTGATAATAGCTAACAATCTCTGTCTCCATTTTTTATAAAAGTCTCCTGTCCTCATAGGAATTCTGAATAAGGTGATATCTTTGTGCTTAATAGATCTTGAAACTGTACATCCTGGTAGACAACAATTTGAACCTGGCATTTTGGATTTATCTTTTAGACTTTTTTTAAATATAGAATATAAAGAAACATTTTAAATTGAATAAAGTTTTTAAACCATAGACAATAGAAAGGAACCAATATTATTTTAATAATAAAGAAAAATAATAATTTTAATATATTAATTTAAAATAAACATCAAAATCTTTATTAATTCGTAACTTTCATTATAAAAGTTTTGTTTGTTTTGCACTACACCTTTTCAAGATGTAATTGAGAAAACAAAAATTGTAATTAAGAATCGTAAGATGTAATTGAGAAAACAAAAGTTTAAAATGGCGCTTAAAAAAATGGCGCGTAAAAAAATGGAGCGTATAAAATGACGCACTTAAAAACGACGCAAGATTTGTAGCGTAAATTTAATTTTTTAGGGAAAAATTTAGGGAAAATTTATAATTTTTGGGCAAATGAATTTAACATAATAAACACTAAAAACATTTTAGGGAAAAATTTATAATTCAATTAAAAATTATAATTAAAAATTATATAATTAAAAATCAATTCATTGATCATTTAAGCACCAACTTGTACGTCTTCCATATTTAAAATAGTCGCATAGTGCGTGGTTGTGTGTTGTACCGCACGTGCACAATCTCCTCCTATTATAGTATTTTTCGCCTCAATTACAATTCGTTCTAAGTACTGCATGCGCTGTTCAACATTGGACTGTAAGGTCCCAAACGTAACAACTGAGCTGGTGAATTATCAAACACCCTTTGCAAACGAGCGTGACAAGGAGCATTATCTGTTACGACGACCAAATCCTCCAAACGATTCCCGGATGTAACCCACTGGTGAAACATAGCCAACATCCACTCGTTACAGGAATCTGCTTTAAATGATCCCCTGCGAGTTTCTATCATGACGACATTTGTAGTTGAAATAGCTGCGATCAAGTGTATGTTTAAACCTTTTGAAGCAGGTACTTTCATAATTGCTCTTTTTCCTTGTCTCGCGCGTCCTTGCGTTTTTCTACAAAAAAGGTTAAAATTTGTTTCATCCAACCAAACTATCTGACGATCATTTATGATATGTTCGTTGATGTTTCTAACATATTCAGCTCTTTTTTGTTTGTTTTCATAACTGTTCATTGTAGAAGGCTCCTTGTGCACTTTTTTTTAATGAGAACAATCTGCCTTCGAGGTAATTTGCTATTGTTGTTGTGCTAACGTTTATGTTAAATTGTCTTAATATCTTTGTTTTGATGGCCACCAATGTTAATTGACAATCATTTTCAATCCATGTTAATGTTTCTTCGATTTGATCTTCGGTCAACTTTTTTGATTTAAAACCTCCTTTTCCGATGAAATTTGAATTTCCGCTGCGAACCCAATTGTATGCTGTCTTATATTTGATACCTAGCGTTTGCGCGAGATTCACCCAATCTTCAAATTGCTCCGCACATTCAACAACTCTTCTCCTTTCATTTGGAGAAGATAAAACGTAACGTTTCCTTTCAACTTGTTCAGTTGTGTGTATTTCATGCCGACAAATCGGACAACTTGAATCTGGTTGTTCCAGAACTGGACGTAAACAAATTTGGTGACATAAATGTTGACACGGATTTAGCTTAATCACAGACTTTCGGGTCATAGTGTATTGGCATATAACACAACAATCTTTCAATTCCATTATTATTACTTGTGCATACAAAAGCAAAATTTAAGATTATAACTTAAATTCATGTCCAAAAAGACCTTTTGTAACAACCTACAAACTTAGACTGTGAATTTGCTATTTTAATTTATGTGTTCTCAATTACAAGTTACGATTTCTCAATTACATATTATGATTTCTCAATTATATCTTACGTTTTCTCAATTACATGTTGTGTTTCTTAATTACATGTTACGACTTCTTATTTACATGTTGTGTTTCTCAATTACATATAACGTTTTCTCAATTACATGTTGTGTTTCTTAATTACATATTACGACTTCTTAATTACAACTTTCATGTTCTCATTTACATCTTGAAAAGGTGTAGATTTGATCACGTGACTTAAAAAAAAGCGAACAATAACATACGACAATAGCTTTTCCAGACCAGGGTTTATTTCTATTGACTATGATGATATTAAAACAGCTGTTAAAAAATGCTTATTTGGCCACCAGCCATACTAGAATTAGTTTGTTTATTCGTGTTCTGTAAAAAATTCTCACCTACCCTTTTATAAAAACCCTCCCCCCATGTCGTTTAATAGATCTGGACTTAAATTTTTACCCTCTCTTTTTATTCCCCTTCCCCTTTATGTCTTAAGCACATGGCTAGGACAAGACTCAAATTTTACATTATAAACCTGTAACAAAACTTTTTTGAAAATATTTTCTTTAATGGTAATGCAAAAAAAAAATTATAAAAAATTCACAGTTTTAGCTATGAAATATTTGTTACATAACACCTTTAGTAGTGTTAGTCTAAAAATAAAAATAAATAAAAAAACACATATAAATAAAATATACATAAAAATAAATATACAATTATACAAAATATACTTAAAATAAATAACAAAAATCTTTATCAACTTTCACAAAATATCAAATCTCCATAAATCATATCAGTCAAAACAACATCTAAATTTACTTTATAATCTTCTGCATCCTCTTCTTTTTCGTTGTTTTTCCAATATGCAATAATTAATGTTTTTGTATTAGCTATACCAGATTTAATATTCTTAACTTTTATAATTTTTCCCATGAACAAAACATTGCTATTGTTAACATTCCAAACGTGATATAAATAAGAGTTTTCCAATTGTGTTAAATTATTGTCAAGTAGTTTTTCAAGTTTTTCCCTTTGAAAACCAGTTAAAGTATTAAACAGTTCACTATCAGCTGTTAAACCATTGCTTAAACCAACTTTAATAGCTTTAGAAAGTTTGTTTCTTACTTTCATATCTCTCTTTTGAGCTTTTTCTTTTAATCGATCAATCATGATTTTTTCATTTCTTAATCTTCTTTCTTTTCCAGTTTGTTTATATTTTGCTCCTTGCTTAATGCAAAATGTAACTATTTTTTCTCTCATATGACTATCTTTTTTTAAAAACCAATCCACAGAGTAATTAGCTTTAGCTTTTGTAACACTATCAATAAATGTTATGTCTGCATTAGGCGCTCTTTTAATTAGTGAATCAACCTTCCCAAGGGTCCTCTCTGCCCATATATTGTGTAGTAGGGCACTTGCAGCCTGTTGTTTCATTTCAGCAGAGGTCCAATAAAATAACGTGACAATTGGTGGCACATAACTGATAAGAATGACTTACCTAGAAGAGTTACTATAGAAAAAAGGTTTTCTATTGAAACATCTTCAGTAATTTGAAGTGATTTTAGAGTGTCATCTTTCAATAAGGGATGATTAAATGCATCAGTTGAAGTTATGAAAAGAAGTTTTGGATTGACATCAACAAGTTTTATGAAATCAGTTGCTTTTTTAAGATAGGCAACCTTTAAAAAAATTAAAAACAGTTGTTTTATTTACTAAAAAAATATTGAATACTATTATTTAAATCACTTTAAATAATATTAATTTAATAACCCTAATATCCTTTAAAAATAAATAATAAATTTACCATATCAAAATGATTTCTTTTTGTATCTTTTGAGTAAAAAATTACCATCCATGGGCCAGTCAGAAACTTTCCCCAAAGACCAAGCGCTTGCAATTGAATAAGAATTGCAAGCGCTTGCGATTTTTTAAGTCATTTAAAATAGATACTTTAAGAGATGTTTGATTGTTACAATACTTCTCTAAGTACTCTATCAATAAATTCTTGTATTCATAAACTACACCAGCTAAATGAAAAATAATATGTAATCTATTGCCAATGTACCGAGGAAAAATACCATATGACAACCCATGGTCCTTAAGAAAAGTTTTGAAACCTGATGGATCACCTTTTTGTTTATACCTAAAACAGAATGCAATTTTTCAAGAAAAAAGTCTAAAAGATGACTTGTGATAATAGTAAATACAAATAATAAATAATTTTACACAAGTGTCATAAATATAGGTACTATAATTTTTTTACCTTAATTTTGAAATACTGTATAATAGAATTGCAGCTCGACAGTCAGAGCCAAATGTGGTACTTGGAATAGATAAATTAAACTTTTTAAGAACATTACAAGCTACATTAGCAATTCCTTCAAGTGGATGGAGATGACAGTGCAGCTCAAGCAAATGTTTTTCAAAAATAGAGTTAAGTTTAATCACTGTTAAGTGGTTGGCAGAAACTCTGTCTGTTAAAGTGCATAAGAGAAAGCTGAATATTTTTTTTTAATTTCTGTAGAATCAATACAGTTAAAAGTTGCATATGTTGTTGCAACATCATTAAATGATTCAAGAATATGCTGGACATAATCATCAGCACGACCACCAGGAACCTCTGCTACACTGACTGTTAAAATTGTCTCCACAGTTGCAATGTGAATCTCATTAAAATGTACACCATTTAAGCTCGTTGCGTCAAATGCCAGTGTAAAATCTTCACTGTGTAAAATAGTTTCTGCAACTTGTAGAGTAGCTAATATCCCCAATTCACAACCAATCTGAGAAATTGTTGACGGTGTTGGTATATCAGTTATAGAATAATTTGTAAGAAGTGATATACACAATTGTATTACTTTAGAAACACTATCAACAGAAACATTACTTTCAAGACACCTGTAAATAACAGCTCTCATGTTACAGTTATATTGTTTTTTATTGCACTTTGTTACAATATTAGTCTTTAATTATTTTGTAGTTTTATCTTTCTCAGCATACAAACTTTCTATTATAACATCTTTGTTTTTGCTTTCAAGTGATTGGTTTTTGATAATGTCTTGTAAATTTATAATTTTTCGATTCAGTCTATCTATAATCTTATTTTGTGCTTTAACCAAATTATTTAATGTTCTTGTTTTTAAATGGAGTTTAAGTAAAGTTTTTTTTATTCTTTTATTTTCTTTTTGGAGATTAATAAAGTCTTTTTTATATTTTAAAACTCTACATTTATTTCGAAGTTGATTTGTTATAGTTGTTTTACATAATTTTTTATTGTTTAAAATCTCTCTTTTTTTTAATAAGCATGCCAACTTGAGTTTTTTATTTACACTTTTTTTTTTTCATATTTATACAATCATGGGTTGTTTCTATTTTTAATTGCGAATAATAATTTTGAGGACAGTTGAGATATTTGTATTTTCAGGTAGAATTGTATCATGAACAGTAGATAGTCGTGGCTGAGGAAATTTGAAATCTTGATAAAAAAATTTTTCTATTTTTGGCCAGTATGCATTTACTTTTTTTTTCAAAACCTTAACGCGTTTATTTAAACGAACAACCGAAGTTTTAAGTAAACAGTTAGTAAGTTGAAGGTGAGGAGCAACAAGATAAAGTTCTGTAACAGTTTTTGATAGATCATTGTTTTTTTCAGTGAAGATGTTGTACACATATCCATTTGTATATTGCTTATCTTTAAAACTTTTTAAGAGAATATTGAAGTCCTGAATTGTTTTTACCATCTTCTGAAAACTATAAAAAATTAAATTTCCGTATGTTTTCTTATAAAGAGTTAAGTCTTGAAAATTGACGAGTACTGAACGAAAAAAATATGAGTTTTTTTTTTTTTCTAATTTTTGGTGGGAGGCATGTTTTTGGTGTGATCAACGCTCACCATTCAAAATTATGCACACTATTAGGGTAATACAATGTTATAACTGATTTTGTCATTAAATCAAAAAAACATCATATACTTTCAAAAATATTTAGATTATAAAATGACCTTAATTTTTAAATCAAATTATCTCTTCAAATAAAAATCTCAAAAAAAATCTTTTAAACACAATTGTGAAGCTATGGTTAAACTTTTTGCAATTAAAAAAAAAAAAAGTTAAAGTATTTAAAGTAATCGGATGAACGATGGAAAACATACACCTCAAATTATTTTGTCGGCATAAAACGTCAGATCTTTTTTTCTTAGCCGTATTTTATCGATTATCGATATCGCGTTATCAGATGTTGAAGTGCCTAACTAAGTGGATCTCGAGGATTTTCTTTTCCTTTTACTTTAATAACTAGGAAGTTTGATGGAAAATGTTTTGCACAAACTACAGTGTAATGTTTATATGGTATATTGTCTATTGGGAAAACGTTAATCCAAGCCTTATTATTTACTGAGCCATAGTTATATTTGCAACCAGTTTTCTATGCATTTTCAACATAATTTTCTAAGCATTGCACAATGTTATTTGAGTTCACCCTGTTGCGAAATGATCTTTCAATTTCAAGAGATTGTTGGAGTCCTAATTTACTGTTCCACTCTTAATTTTCCGGTAAATCTAAACTCGAAAGGTTCTAATTTACCGAGAAATTAAGACGTTCGAAGTCATAATTTGCTGAATCCTAATTTACCGCGACACCGGCCTTTTCAATTTAGCTTTTTTTAAATTAAATAATTCTTTTGCTCTTTACCGACTTTATTGTTTTTCGTCATGCTTCATTGATCATATTCTATTGAAGTTGATTGTTTGAATGACTTTTCCTGAAGTCGTATAACTCAGGTGCGTTTGAATCTGAAAAAATATATTCAAATCAGCGGCAGATTAAGACTTTTTGGGGCCCGGGGCTATTTTTGTTTTTGGAGGCCTTTTTATGGGCCAGAGTCTATAAAAAGCCCTCTAATAACACAAATAGTTCAAAAAATATTTCATTTGAACATCCAAAAACAAAAAACGTTCAAAAGACGTCTAAAACGTGTTTTGAACGTTTTAGGCGTCTTTTGGATGTTCAAAAGACGTCTTTTTTAGATTCTGTGCTCACTGGGGAGCTGCACGTTTATTAATAAATTTGTTCTTTAGCAGCTACAAATATTGACTTTTTTTTGTTATTATTGTTTATAAACTTAAACTTTAACTAAGTTCAAATATCAGCTTATTTGCTACGAAATAACAAATACTTTTTTTACTTAAAGTTTATATTTTACAAACCATTATTAAAAAATTTTTGTATTATTTATTGGTTTTTCTTTTGAAAATTTTTTGCCATGTAATCTAAAAAAAATTATTTAAATATATTTCTATTACTATTAGTATAAATTCGTTATTTTATTAACATTCATTTCTAATAAAAGAAAAAATAAATAAAATATCAGACACAATAATTTATAAAATCACAAACTTTTACATATAAAAAAGCAGATCTTATAAAAATATTCTTAGTTGATGATTTTAGTTCATCGGAAATCATTATGATTAAATAACATACACTGAAAATTGAAAATTTATAGAGCACATTTATCAATAAAAACTAAATAACTTTTCTATTTTTAATTTTTTTTTTATTCTTATTAGATAATAAAAAACTACATAAGATAATATAAATATATGTTAAAAAAAATTATAATAAAATGCACAGGCATTTGAGTACTTGGCATAGAGAGCACTTCGCGTTAAGTTTTGCAACTTTCACAGCTTCCTTTGTTGCTTATTCTTCATCTTATTTTTTGAGGAACTCGATCGCATTTTCTTCGGTAATACACTTTCCGTCATGTTTTGACATGTTGTACTGCTTCGATTTCTTAACATTTATGGCTTGAAAAAACTGCTTTAACTCTATCTCTATACTTTTTTTGCAAGGTCAACACAAGCATGATACCTATCAAAACTTGAAGCTAGTGTAGTTGAGAAAGATGGTAATCGGTGTGTAGTTGGAGTAGGTGCTGTGGCGGCTGTTGAAGATAATGAAACTGTGTCTGAGCAAGATGGTGTAGGTGCTGCGGAGGCTGCTAAAGTTGATGAAGATGGATTAAACCTTTGTGTGATTGCTAATGCCTTAAAATTTATGTTGTTTTTATTAAGTGAAAGTAAGCCAGTGTACTGGAAGCCATCAATTGGATGCAAGCGTGTAAAACATTTACCACTCTCGTGAGGTGTCTACTGACAGTAGACACCTCTATCCAATGGTTATAGAATATGTGAAGTATGCTCTAGTTGACAAATCAAGACTATATTTTGTTTTTTGCACATCAGTACTACTTCCAAAGTTATGTGAGTTGTATGCCTATCTAATACTAAAATATGAATACCACCAGTTCGCTCAGTTATGGTTATAAATACTTCTTTCTGCCATTCAATAAAAGTACTCCATCAAAGCTGATTTTAAAATTGAATATTTGGTTCTAACTGGACCACCTCTTTCCCAGTCAGGACAAAAGTTTCTTTTGGCTGTCTATATCACAAATGGTGCTGCAAAATGCCCATCAGCGTTGCAGCAATTGTTTACAGTAAAATAAATTTATTTATTGTTACCAGTAAGTTAAAATGCACGTCTTGTCCTTTTTTGACACACTGCGGTAGCTTTGCCTTGATCACCCAAAAAACCTGTTTTATCACAATTTCAAATATGTAAACCAGAAGTTATTACTGTCTGTTGATATTGCTTGGCAACGCATTCAAAATGGCGGCTCTTTAAGATTGTATGCTTTTATTTTTTTACTTGACATTGTTAGGAGTGGATTAAATTGAATTGAGTGAGTGTTGATTATATTAAGAAATAATATAATAATTTGTTGAAAAAATAGTTGGTTTTTAATGAGAAAGAGATGATTATATTAACAAATAACATTATAGTTCATTTTTAATTAAACCGGAATTAACACTAAGCTAATTAGATAAAGATAGGCGCTTAGTCACTTGCAAAAAACGAAGAGTTTTTTTACTTTTTTGATTTTTGATTTAACTTTTTGTTCTAGCTGTATAAAAATTGTACTATCAGTTTAAATTTCCAACAAGATAGGGCTAAAATTATTTTTATATCAGTTTCGGTTCTAGCGCTATTTTGTTCACAACGATAAAAAATATATAAAAAATTTTGACTCCCCGTTAAAGTTGTATAAAAAAAGAAAAAAATGGAGTTGAATCGGCATACAATTTATCAATTCGAATAGAATTGATAGTTCTGTATTTGAATCTTTATTTTTTCATAGCCATTTCCGTTAGGTTTTCCATTTCCGTTTATTTGATAATTTCGATCAGTGTACAAAATGATATGGTGTGCGGTTTGACCCGGTTTTACTCTATATATCAGTGAAATTGAAAATGTATATATATATAAAATGAAAATGAGTATATATCAGTGACGGATTCGGAGTAAGGAGGGAGTGGGGGTTATGGGGGAATGCATCCCCATTTAAAAGAAAACGATAAGCGAAAAAGTAGGTTTAGAAGTGTAATGACAAAAGACGAGGAGAAATCAATAGTCGATTGGAATATAAGTTGCGCAAAACCTAAATTTTTTAATAGTATCGACTGAATCAATTGAAACAAAAAATTTAAATTACATTTCAAGTTTAAATTCGAAGCAAAAAAAATTTTTGCCTATAAATATTTTGACATCAAAATAAAGAAACATTTAGATATGTCCTCTGATAAAACAATAATCCAGCGTAATTGTTCTTCAGACCAAGTAAATTCGTAACTAGGTTCTTTCTAGCTTTTCTAGTTAAAAAGTTGTAAACTCTTCTAATTCTCTATTTCATATATTACCTGTATTTATATAACAAAAATCTAGTTCCTAAATATATTTAATTTCTAGATAATCAAAATTCCTTGACAAATTCATTTTTCTATGCGTTCCCCATAAATCTAACCAAATAATCATAGTTTATGTAATTTAATAGCATAGATGATATGAATATCTTATCGCCAAGTTCCTTAGCTTGAAAATAAGAAAAAATTATGAATCATTCTTGTTACTGCTAAATACATTATGTTTACGCTAATTGCTTTATGGTTTAGGTTAACTTAAAAGGAAAAAGAAAAAGTATTATTTTAACTTACTAAGGGATTAAAAAGCGAGTAGACAACAAGCTCTGTTTTAAATTACAGTAAAATTTAAATTCATTTTTCTTCTAGTAAGTTGAAGTATTTTTGAGTTCCCACTGAACCCTCACTAATATATTCTCATAAAACCCCGTTAACTCGAATTTATGGGAAGAGTTTTACCCGTGGCTAGTTTTCTTCCGATAGCTAGAACTATAAAAGATAAAT